TTCCCTACAAACACAGCAATGTTAGTCAGATAGGATTAGAATAAGAAAAGGCAAACCTAAATTAATTTACTCATTGTCAGAAAGGCAGAGTGCTTTTCCATTTTAAATATATAGTTACTTAAAGGTTACATATGACAATACATAAACTGAAAATATGAGAGAATTAAAAACTACATACCTCACATACAATAGGCTTAAACATGATTGGAGACACTAATTACTACTTCCTGATGAGAGAATGTACATATTATACTAAAAATTATGATGAGAAGCTCAGAAAACATGGTCCTTACAAAGTGAATCTATAGATGCGTGAAACTGAATTTAGCTCCATCCCTCCTTCCAAAACACCACTCCCCTGGTATAATTTAGTTTTGATTCTAGGAGTAAGAAATCAATTCAGCTTCCCTATTCCTTCATATTTGTTGCCTTTTACTATCAAAGAGGTTGGTAATTTAAGTAATCTTACTGCTTCACCAGAACAGGCATACCTTGCCCTAATAAACATATAAAAAATGCATTTTTCACAGGGAATCCAAAATAAACCATCATCAGAATGCTGGCTCATAGCAACAGGATTCTGTGAGTACTCAGGCTCATATCACAGCCCTACTGGCTACAGTTGGTGACATGGTGGAGGACACCCCTAGCAGAGTTTAAAAGGAAATTCTTCTCTGTGCTTACGGATCGGTCCTTTGCTTCTTCTCATCTGCAATGGCCAGGTTTCGGCAACTTTTCACAAGGATGTTGAGGGCACCTGTTTTGTAGCTGTAGTTGATGTTGAGAAGGATTTCACCACTGACCTTCACGTTGCCATAGTCACCAGTTTCACTATATACACTCAACATGCTGTTAATGCTAGTCTGGACAGGGAGAAAAAAAAAAAAAAAGGTCTTAGAGGTTTTAAACAATGACTCTTCTCCAGAGTCTGCTATTTTCACACAGCTACTGCCTTGCAATATTGTCACACTTGTAAAGATGTAAAAGGGAATAAGAACTATACTTTTTATACTATTATAGTAGCTAAAATGTCTAGACACTTAATGTTTTTCCATGCAGGACTTAAACCTATTTATAAACATGACTACATCTAAATTACTACCATTGAATTCATGCATGAACTGAAGAGCATACAGGCTACATAAATTGTAAATTCATGTGAGTTCCCAGCAGTAAAAAAAAACCAAAAAACCAAACATTGCTGTGGCTCAGCTGTCCCCCTCATTTTTACTGAGTCTCATAAAACAACTGCTGACAGAACCACTGGAAAAAGTTGTAAGGATGCTTCCCATAATGGAGGTGGTATAAATCCATGTTTGTTTAAAGTGGCAGCTCTCATTAGCAATTCAAAAACAATGAGCAAAATCCACTACTCACCATTTCTGCAATCTTCCTGAAGCAAAAAATGTTTAGCAATAATTCTACAAAATTTTCCACTGTAATGTAATTTATCACCCCTCACTCTTTCTTTTTTCTTTTTCATTCATGCCATGCAGAGTTTTGCTATGAGGACTTCCTCTTCCAAAAGATTACAATTAGGAAATAACTAAATATTTTTAAAGAAAACCAGAGCAGTTTGCAAACTGCCAGAACCAGAGGCATTCAAGTAAGCTGGCACACATTTCCTTTTGAGCTGTTGAGCAAACCTAACACAGAGGAACTGTGCAAAACACACAGGTACAGTCTTCAAGAAAAAGGGAGAAAAGAGAGAGAAACTTTAAAAGTAAGCTAAGCAGAGGATTCAGGAGAACTCACAGTATCACCGTCTGTTTCAGGAACATTTAAATATGTCCATTTTCTGTTGGAGCCTTCTGAGGAGTTCTTTAAAGAGGCAGTGCAAAAGATTAAGAGAAAAGAATGTCAGATAGATACTATAAGAAAGAATAAGTGCGGTGATAAATCTTTAACTATACAGTTAGGTAAAGGAAGTTTGTATTGGAAAGAGGAAAGAGGGAAGGGGAGGCAAAGGCAAAGGATCATTAGGTAAGTAGGCAGCGAGAGATAAATGATGGGGGAAAAAACCCAACAGAATTTTTTTTTAAAAACAGATTACATCTGATCCTAGAACTTATGGAGACACAATTTCTGAAGTGCTTACAAACCACAAACAAAATAATACAGATTTAGTAGAACTTGATGTACTTGACATTTTCCCCCTAATTTTCTGTTCAGTGGCATTTACGCTGGTTATCACATATGCTGAATGTAGTGTTCTTAGGAAATCTACTAATTTTTCTGTTTTGTAAGTAGTACACAACCACCACATATGGATGATGAAGAGCCTTGTATTAGTACCTCAATGAGATTTATATTTGTTTTGCATCGTATCTTATTGCTGCAGTAAGGCACTGGAACAGCTCAGTCTTACTGATGTGATGGGTCTTGACAACACCACATTAATGTGTTTAGGAGAGGAATAGGTGAAGGATGCAGGGGAAAAGAAATACACAGCTCATGCACTAGCTTTGGGAAAAACAAGAAGAAAAATACCCTAATGCTGAGATATAGCTCCTGCTCAATGTCACTTTCCATTTCCATTTAGCTCATTCATGTTACAGGTAGATTTCAAGCATCTTTAACTCTCTGAGGTTTTTCTTCCCTTAGCCCAAATGCTTATTGTCAGAGTAGCCACACTGTACTTTAAACTCTCATTATTTGAAAAAGGAAAGAAAACAGAAAAAAACGCATGTAGAGCCTCCTGTTCATTAATTTCAACGTGACTTAATAGCACACAGGTATTTGACAGATAAATATGTGAAAAAATCTGAAAAGTGTAGAAGGCTCAAAAGCTTGCAAGAAGCAGAGTAAAGGCAAAATCGAGAGAGGGTGGAATGTTAGTAAGTAGTAACACACACTAAAGGGGAATAAGCAAAGAACAGGTTAAATTGTCCTTCTCTTGCAGGGTGACGCAGCTTGCCATTCACAGCTTTGCCATTACCATCAAATTGCAGTGACATTAAAAATCATGTCATAGTGAATAGAGAGAAACAAGAGCATTGAGATGTGAGGTTATCTGAAACCCACAGCAGTGGAAAAGCTACCTCTGCTTAAGGAAATCTACACCAAAGGACAAAAGCCAATGCACAGACATAATGCTGCCTGTAGCAGCATTCTGTAGAGAGAAGGCTCTCTATATGTGGTTCCTCAATTAGACGCCTAAACAGAGAAAGAACTTAAGCATCTGCAATCCTCATATCAATATTCAGAGGAAATAAAACTAATTCTGTCTGTAAAATCCAGCAAGCATTGGACACAATGAGCTTAGTCAACCTTGGGTAAGTGGCTCTAATTAGACCAATGCTAACAGGCTACATCTGCTCATCTGATTTGGTATGAAGTGTCACAGATCTCTGTTGTGTTTGTTTCTGTGAACTACACCAGTTAGAAGGGAAAAGGGTCTGGACATGACCCCATCTAAGATACCAAAATGCTCTGATGTCAATTTTCTCAGCCCTTTCTCCTCCCCAGGTAAGCCAGGCTTGGATTCAGCTGACTCCATCTCTTTGGGATCAAGAACTTAAGTGGACATTCCCTGAGTCCTACTTGCATAGGGAATAATGGGAATGCAGTGTAGAAAGGACAGCTCATTGATTACTGACATGAACTAAATTTTCTATTCCATTTTAGCATTACAGATTCATCCCTTCATCCTCTTCAGCTCTCCCATCTTCTACCTGGAGTTTGTTGCAGTTTTCTTGGTACTCTATATGCTGATCAGAGCTATTCTTAGACACAAGTTATGAAGGAGCATAAGCGGAGCAGAGTGGGCTCTATGACTTTTCTGAAGATGCTATCAGTTGCCCGCATCCTAAGTGTCAGATCCCAAAAATTAAGTACACAACAGGTAGTCATAAACTAGACATGTTAAGGGCTGATTTTATCATCATTTTCTTTTCCAGTGAATATCAGACTGCATAAGGAATGCATTAGGCATTCTATACCAATTTTGTTGCATCTTAAGCACCTGTTACAACCTGAAAAGGCAGGTATCCTTTTAAAAACAACATTAAGTTGCAACAGTTAGACAACCACAAGACTCAAACGTCTGATACACAGTATATAGTTGGTGGGTACAGCAACAAACAAAAGGGTTTAACAGAAATATACTACAATATTTGCAAAAAGTGGAAAAGTTTTCACCACCAAAATAATCCCTGTCCTCACTGTGAAGAGAAATACTTTTCAGATGTGGGTGGCATAGCAATCATGTCCTCAAGAAGAGGAGAAGCTGGGTTGTGGGACAGACAGTGATGCTACAGAAGTAACACATATGCAAACACACACATGAGTATTTGTGGCCCAAGAAGATGAACAATCAGAAAATGGTTTGAGATGGAAGATCCTACCATAGCCTTGTACTCTTCATTGCAAGTAGATTAAGTTCTTCTCTGCAATGCTGAGCAGTCATGTACTGCAAACACCTATGGTTTGCTTTCTCCACATGACAGCTTGGGAGTAACCCGAGCATGTGAGGAAATCTACTGATGAGTATGCAAAATGGTTTTATCTTTCTGTGTGCTGCAGAGATCAGCATTTTAGCTTTGAACAGCATCAAAAATATAATGGAAAAACTATGCAAATGTTAAAGGATGTTTCTCAAGTGCAGGATGAAAGACCATCTGCCAAAGGGTATGAACTCTTTTTTTCATTTTTTTTCCAGAAACAATGATCTTTTGTGGAAGAAAAAGCATATGTTTTCTATTGAAGATCTTGCTGTTGATAATCCACTTGTCAAATGTCCATGTTGCCTTGAATAATGAGAGGTCACTATATCATCAATATCTTCTTCTGTTTCATCCTGATAATCCTAAACGACAAGCAGGCATTTTAGTTGCCATGTTCTGCTCTGTCTTTGGTCACCCTCTGTTGCTTAGTTTTGTTTCATATATTTTTCACTTTAAGCAGATGATGCAGGATGCATTCAAAATTCTAATCTCTAGAGGAATTTTGATTTACATTTTCCACATCTTTGCACAGGCACACAGCACAAGTGGAAAAGACACTCTTATGGTTTCAGGGTTCAATTGCTTGACACACATACTGTGTATCTTATTCTGGAGGTGTAAACCTTCACATGGCCAACAACTGTGCACATAAATAAAATCCACTTCCATTCCCACTAATAATCCCATGTGAATTACCTTATTCTAGTTACTACTATTTGCATTCAGGAATTCAGCTTGAGAAATCTTACGCATTTTTCAAATTCTTAACAAAAGAAATGAGTGATCATTAACACAGATCCACTTTCTACCAGGCAATGCTGAAAGCCCCAGGTTATTCAAACCACATGGGAACAAACTTGCCCTGCCATCATATACACTGAATATATTTGAGGGGTAAACAAAAAATCCAGTTGATGTGTATGTTTTAAAAATAATTAAATTCCTGTATTATTTTTAAAAATTAAAATTGGAGGAAAGATCAACAATTGCACAGCTTCATATATGTGCCTGACTTTTAATAAGCAAGACTGCACTGTAATATTTTTAGCTCATATACAGAAATAAACCCCTCATTTTCAAACAGAAGCAATAAAGTAAAACCTAAATAAAAACTTTAAATCTGGTTAATGTTACTAATATGACAGATAACTTTTACTTAAAGTTTCAGGGAAAAAAAAACCAAACAACAAACCAACAAACATCACAGAATCACAGAATATTAGAGGTTGGAAGGGACGTCTGAAGTTCAAGTCCAACCACCCTGCCAGAGCAGGAAAAAATAAAAACAAAACAAAAAAACAACTAGGGCAGATCACTCAGAAAGGCACACAGACAGGTCTTGAAAGTCTCCAGAGAAGGAGACTCCACAACCTCTCTGGGGATCCTGTTCAGTGCTCTGTAACCCTCACAGTAAAGAAGTTCTTCCTCATGTTGAGGTGGAACTTCCTGTGCTTAAATTTGAGTCCATTGCCCCTCGTCCTACCACATGGCACAAGAGAAAAGAGGGTGTGTCCCTGCCTTCCTGATGCTCAGCCCTCATGTATTTATAGACATTAATTAGATCTCCTCTCAGTCTTCTCCTCTTTAGACTGAAAAGCCCCAGGTCTCTCAGCCTTCCCTCATAAGACAGGTGTTCCGGTTCCCCAATCATCCTCGTAGCCTCCGTTGGACTCTCACAAGTAGATCCCTGTCCCTCTTTAACTGGGGAGCCCAGAACGGGACACTCCAAGTGAGGTCTCACTAGAGCCAAGTAGAGGGGGAGGAGAATCTCCCTTGATCTGCTGGAGATACTCCTCATAATGCACCCCAGGGTACCATTGGCCTTCCTGGCCACAAGGGCACGTTGTTGTCCCATGGATAACTTGTTGTCTACCATGTTCTTCTCCACAGAGCTGCTTTCTAGCAGATCACCTCCTAACCTGAACTGGTGCATTTTGTTGTTCCTTCCCAGTTGCAGGACTGTGCACTTGCTCTTGTTGAACCTCATTAGGTTCCTCTTTGCCCAACACTCCAGCCTGTCCAAATCTTGCTGAACAGCTGCACAGCCTTCCAGTGAATCAGCCAATCCTCCCAGCTTCGTGTCATCAGCTAACTTGCTGAGGAGACACTCTGTCCTGTCATTAAGGTCATTGATAAAGAGGACTGGACCCAGCAGTGATCCCTGAGGGACTCCACAAGTTGCAGGTCTCTATAGGATCGCTATCTTGCTATCAAGTGTAGCTTGGAAATGTCAAGTGTTAAAACACTAAACCTCATGGAAGGTATTTCAAAAGACTCTGCTTTTAGTTTTAATGGAAGTAAAATATTCAACTTCCTTATACCTGCTTCACAGCTATAAAAAAATCTCATATAGTGACCTACCATAAAAAGAAAAGGTATTTCAAAAAGCTATAAAAAAATCTCATATAGTGACCTACCTCACTCTCTATGGTTTAGTTGCTCTCACTCCCCTAAACTAAACAAAGAGCTGTATTTAAACTCAGCCATCTCAAAGACTTCTATGCTAATCAGGAAAAAACAGAGCAGAGAAGAAATGCTGCTCGAGTGTTGAGCTATCACAGTTTGTATAAAGGTCTGAAGAGCATTTGTCATTAGCATGCATAAAACTAGCTGTTACTTCTCCCCATCTTTGCTACAGTGGCTGAAGTAAAATCAGCTGAAAGTAATGCAAAATTTTCTATTACTATTTTCCGATTGTAACTGCATGTTTAATATTAAACAGAGGAAAATGAGGACAAGCCATCACTACAGGGACTCAAATTTACATACTAAAGCTAAAATGCTTCTCAGCTTCATGTTCTCACAATGAACCTTCTCTGCTGGTCTCTGTGCTTTTTAATCTATCCAGGGCACTGCTGCCACTCCACAGAAAAAAAGAAGTCACAAATATTTTATATTCTAAGGAATAAGTCCATGGAGACTCAGGCACAGAGCTAACTACTTTAGGGAGACAGAGAGGGTGATGAATCCTTCAAAAGTAAAATTAAAAACACCCCTAGAATAAAAACAACAAAAAAACTCTCCCACCCTTCACTTCTGTTTTCCTCTTTGACTTCAGAATTCAGATGATGTGCCCAAGTTTAAAACTTGGCCCAAAAATACACAACCTTCCTGCCCATACAATAGGAAGAAGCAATTCTGTTAATACATGCAAAACTCTTCATGTACCTGTGGACTTTAAAATAAACAATACCACATTTTTATTTCTGAATTATAGTAAAAAACCCACAAAAACAAGTAATGAAACTTCTTCAGATTGGGGTGTTTCAGGCTTAGATATTCAAATATTAACAAGGGCTCACAAAAAGTCCAAACAACATCTAGCTGACTACCAATTTTTTCCTGTAAGCAGATATCTGAACCTAAAAAAATGGTTTACATTTAACCTGTGCCCTTAATTTATTTTGTACGACAATGATTATGTTCCTCAGGAGGTGTTCCAGAACTGCAACTACATAATTGGTGTTATTAGCTTATTAAAGTTAGAGCTAGCTCATGGTCTCCAGTGGGGGTTATAAAATGCACATTATCCTATTACTTCTAATAAAACTGCTGAGCATGTAATTAACATCTCTTGGTTAGGAATTCAACACACACTTCTCTAGATAAGGGGCATGTTCCACACCACTGCTGTCACCTCCCATCACCCAGAAACAAGAGAATTAAGGCCCTCAGCACGCTCCATCAGCTGGCCAGGGGAAAAGAAGGTACAACATTTTTCAGGCTGCAGCAGCTGTTGCTATTTTCATCAGATATCTTTAATTTTGTCTATTATATTGAGCTGCAAAGGAGCTAAACTCCAGCAGGAATACAACCTTTATCTCAAAAGACTGCACGTATAATGAATCTAGGGCAAGACTCTGAAGGACTCCTGTGAGTCAAGCTACACTAAAAAACATGGTAACACTACAGCTGATCAATGCAGTCAATTGATTTCGTAGGACAGAGCAAGCAAGGACATGGGTAGAATCCAAGTTCTTGAAACGCTGTTATGAATGAAGTTTAAAGAGGGGAATAAGCACTCTCACAGACCCTGGATCAACTAAGTATTAAGGTTATGCCACAAGAAAGGTCCCCTGTGTTAGCAGAGAAGCTAGAGAGCTGCTGAGCAGCAATCTGAATTTCTTTCAGAGTCAGCAAGAAAAGAAAGAGAGAGGGGAGGGGAAAAAAAAAAAAAAGAGCTCTGAATATGAGGAAGACAAAAACCAAAGAACAGAAAACCCTCTGGACTTGGCATCTCTGGCAGCTACCTCAGAGAAATTCCTAGGTGATAACTACCACCCCACTTGCAATTAGAAGAGGAAAATAATATAAAGATATATAAAGCCTGTATTTGCAGAAGACAACCATAAAACCAGAAATCTTTTCTAACTTCTTAATCAAGAACAAGTGGAAATAAACCACTTATTTTTGGAGTTTTTCTTCCACAGAAATCTGTTGCACAGAAGGAGCTTGCTTTATTTCCTTAAAGATTAACCCAAACAAAACAACACTGCAGACAAATTCTGAGTGCTTCCAATCCAAGAAATGGATAGGAATCCAAACATATTGTTTTCCACCAAGCCACAAGTATAAAATGCTACAAGAAGGGGATACATCTCCCACAGCCAATGGTTTTCTGAAAAGAGCAGGAGTTAGGGAAGGTCTATGACAATAAACAAATTACATAACCCATAACACAGAGGTTTAAGTGTTTTTTACGCTACAAGCACACATTTGGAGATTCAGAACAAACTATGATTAGATGAATAACTATTTAAATAACTCTTTTTTTCATCTCATGCATATTTAGCAGTTTAAAGACTCTTATAGCATTGATGCACATCTGCAACTTGTGTATCTTGGGGAAGCTGTGAATCACTTTGGGAAAAGCAGCCCATAGAAGACACTGAAAAATGCATGGAGATGTATGGGAGAAAACAGTGAGCAGGAAGAAGAGGCAAGCAACAGTGGCAGAGCAGAAAGTTCATTTGCTAAAAAATATATAAGCAGAAAATCAGAACCAGAAAAGGGTAAAGCCTTGAAAGTATATTTCTCCATGTCAAAATGAAAAACGAAGAAAGCATGGATTAACAGAATATTGCAGCATGTGCAATACAGTGCCTGAAATTTATTTTCAGGCCAGTTTCTTTCACCTATAAACTGAAAAAATAGCAAATCAATAACAAATTCCAACAGTGGCTATTCATTGGAATAATTCTATAGCTGATATATTCAGAAGATGAAGCTGTCTAAAAACTCATTAAATAACCCAGAAACAATGTTCTGTATTACTTGTATTTGATACAGATAGATATCTATATAGAGCTCATTTTGTAAGTTTGAAAAAACAGGGTTCCTACTATATAAACATTTACTTATTTATAACTCACCAGTTCCTGATCTAAGGCACTAGGTACAGATTTGCTTCTTACGCTCAGTGTGTCCTCATGTTCTTCAGAGAAAGATTCACTCAGATCTATCTCAGATCGGCTACGATCTGGAAAATAAAAATAATTATTTTTTTTTCTGTAATTCCTAAAAAAAAATAATCTGCTTCATCTTCCACATTTTAGTAAGTGTTGTCTCATACCCAATTGTTTTTTTACAAATCAGTATTTCAGGTATCTATCACAAACTATGACAACTGAACACCAGTGTGTTAAATGGAAAAAACACATTTTCTGATGCTGTTCAGCCTTCTGGCCAATACTTTTCCTCCTGTACTATTTATCTGCTGTAATTGTCTCCTGGGGATGATACTATAGCTCAAGCTTTGACTTTGGGCTTACCAGCCTGGAATATTGCAAAACTTGCAGTCCAAGTGTTCACAGTGATTATCACATCTCCCACCACTACCCAACTTCCCCCTACCATCTGCTTCAGAATTAAGCAACTGGGGATACTGATGGACTGGTGTTCCCTGTGCCAAAAGGAGGAGGAAGCAAATGAACCTCAAGGCCTGTAAAAGTTTCTTTTTCCTACAGGTGTCTCATCCACTCTAGAGGTCTAAGACATGTAAGATGTCTTGGAGAAAGATTTTCTTAGTCATCCCAATATAAATGTTTTGAGGAACTGTTCAATATATTGAGAAAGAAAGAGGGGGAAGAGAATACTTTGAGATCCTTCAGGTAGGAATCTGCAAAGTAATTTACTGTTCATCTTCTACCTGGGCAATAGCTGATGTGACAGGAGACAATGAAGGGTCTGATGCCCGTTCCCAGGTTGCCTGTAATTTTGCTCAGCATCCATCTGCTTTGGTAACATGAGGGAAGTTATTTTCTACTAGGAAAATCTTTATTTTAAATGGTAGCAGAAACAGGAGTTTTTCACTTCACAAAAAAGTAGCAGTCTGTAGTACCTCTGGCTGGATTTGCAATATCCTGTACAATATCCTCAAAGAAACTCTGATACGTTTGAGTAGAAAAATCTACGGTGAAGAACATTATCTCCTTTGATCAGCTCTGTGGGATATGCCACTAGGTGTCTGCTTTGGGCTAAACTCAGCTGGAATAAGGTCAACCCTGCTGTGTTTCAGAGAGAAACATGTAAATCTGAACCCACCCTGTTGGTCCTGTAAGAAGCCAACCTAGGAGAAACAGAAGAGTGCAGGGTGCTCCTGCCTCCTATTCGAGGTATGAAAAGGAGGATCTCAACCCTCTTGCAAAGTGGCTCTGACAACACCTTCCTGTGCAAGTCCCATTTACATAATAGCCTCAAATGAAATGAGGTGAATTACGGCTGAATTGTCTGATTCTGTGCAGACATATAAAAACGAAGTTACATGAAGTCTGCAAGGGACTTGTTCTCTGATAGCTCTTTGTTTCTTTGCTTCTAGGCAAAGTGGGTATGAAATGTAATGGCAGCAGCACAGTACTATTTTATACAGATTGCAGGTAGGTAACATTTTATAGTCTTGACTACACAGAGACTGATTTAACAATGTGCAGTTATGAATGAAATCTTGTCACAATTCTAAGAGTATGTAATTTATCTAATGCTAAAATTGTACCAATATTACTGGGGTTAGGATTATCATTTTATTTCAAATATAAAACTTGTAGAGTGGTATAAATTTGGTTACTGAAATGGAAGAATTTTCAGAATTAATAAGAATAAATTTATGAAACATCTGATCTTTCATTGTGCTTTAAAAAAAAAAAGGTGCAGAGTCACAAGAATATGAATAAAGCTCTGATGATAAAGGCTGTCAAAAAGAAAGAAAAGATTTAATACTTACCTGATGACAAAGATACCCTAGAAACTGCAATGGAAGGCGTTCCAGATGCCTTCCTACAGTGTTTCTTTACTAAATCTTCAGGTACACTTTCACTTGCTGGAATAACCATGCCATTTTCTAAGCCAGTGTCCTGCTCGATAAGAAAAATGCACATCCCATAAATGCAAAAATGCAAGTTATTCACTATCAGTCTACAGAAGCATCACCTCTACTAGCTCTCAGAAGTCCAAAGCTCATTAAGCCTCCAGTTTATTGCTGAATATCTTTAGATTACAATCTAATCTGCTTTTCTTAGCATAGATTATTAATAATATTTGCTCAAAGATGGGACTCATGCAAATATTCTGAGTTCGAAGCTAAAGAATCAGAGTGATGCAGAGAGGAGGGAAGTGAATCACTCAAATATATTAAAAGTTCGCTTAGCTTGTAAATTAAAAGAAGGGGGGTGGGGAAGGGAAAAGAGAGAAAAGGCAAAACATTACTTTTATACCAGCATAGTTATTTCAGCCAGGGAAAAAGCAAATGGACTTGATCTAATTAAAATATACCAGTATAAGCCCTTAAATAAAGCAAATATGCTTGATATTATTATGACTTCTTGACTCCCTAGAAAGGAATTGCTAACTTAAGTCCATCAAAATTGAATGCATTGGCCTTTTTCAACAAATTCTAATGCACTTGAAATCAAGTCACTCTGTGTGCCAGCAAGAATATAAATAAAACAACTATTAATCTATTTACAGCTCCTAAAACTTTCCTTCATATATGCTAACTTATTTTTTATTGAAAAAGGCAATACACTGAAAGCTAGAAAAAACCTGATGCATTCAACAAGGCTCTGATCTCAAATGCTCATCTACATTTTTCCAAACATTAATGGTAAAAGACATTGCTTCTGACTATAAATTTTGTATTCTTTGTACACTTGAGTCATGGTAACTTAGAATAACTTGCCCGTACAATCCTGATTTCTTAAGAGGGGTGACTGACATGAATTTGGGATGGGTGTCAGAAGTACACAGCCAGGAGAAGCTGCTTGACAAGCAGGCTATATGGGAAAGAAGAGACAGTCTGCTTCTGGCTAGGTGAGCCACATCCTCCCACTGATTACAAAACAGTCAAGGCAGCTAGCTCAGATGTGGCCACCTACATCCCAAGAAGCCTGACAGCAGGTAAGAGGAATCCCACATTTCATTTTGATAAAGTGTCTAGCACACATTTTGTGTTATGCCATAATTTATGCAGAATCCATTGTTCAGAAAAAAATAAAAACAGTATGGCCTGATTTTCTGCAAGTGCTGAGCTGGCAACTTTTGCCTGCTGGGAAGTCACATCTTTAATTCACAGCACTCACTCAAGGCTCCGAAGTTCCAAAAATATTTACTTCCATCCCTGGTACTTCCCACTTCAGAATCTGTAACTCATTATGTCATGATGGACATTAATAGCAATTTTTAGACATAAGAAGAATGTCTGCCAAACCACAAACATCACTGATGGAGCATGACAAACTGTGTTCTAGTAGAGATCTTCACTGGTCTCAGCAGAATTAAGGAAAACAAAACCTCTCTGTCAGGCTTGCCCTTTCTAGGCTACAAATCAATCTAACATGGCAGCCAAATCACCCAGTCTGGTGTCAGCTTCACATGACTGTACTTACCCTGCTATAATCTGTGGTCATGCTGCGTGTGCTGAGTGCTGGAGACCTCGGCAGGGAAGGTATGGAAACATTGCCTCTGCTCACAGGACCCACAGCCCCTACATTGCTGCTGGTCAGTGAAAGGGTGCTCCCCCTGGGGTGGAGAGAAGAGTATTAAAGCATTATTGCTTTGAGCACACCAAGGCAACCCATTCAGCAAGGCACTGCAAGAAAGCAGCCATGGTAACTGTTAACTAGAGTAACTTTGTCCTGGATGAACTAACTGAGTGATCCACCGCAAGGAGATGGCCACCTGGGAAGAAAAGCAGAGGTGAGGGTGAAGAGCAATTACTTTAGACATACACCTGTTTTCAGCACTTCTGCCAGAACTGCAAATAGCCCAAATGAGTGGCTCTTCTCCAGGCTGTAGAAGCTGCATTCGTGTTCATTTCAAACTGCATTCACATCCCAACAGCAGGTGCAACAACTCCTGTAACACTGCCTGCCAGGCTGCTTCTTGGTATAAAGGAAAGTTACAGTGACATGACTGTTCTGGCCACTTCAGCAGCTGATGTTAATGCCAAAACTAGCTCCAGAAGTCTAAAATCCTTGGCTATCTGCTCCTCCATCCTCTTCATAAAAACAACAACTTGTTCACGGTCCTGTTTGTATTGCAATAATGACTCCTGACCCAAACTGATTGATTATTTCAACCAGCTCAGAAAGCTAGGCAAGTCTCTTTGCCAGGTTTCATGTTACTAAAAGTGACAAGTTCAGCATACCTGAACCCAACTGCTGCCTAACAACAGCTGAAATTGTATTTGCAGTAAAAAGTCTTTCTCTTCATTCTTCACAAACGTCGGCTCAAACTTTTTAATTTTTCTTCATAATTGAGAGAAATCTCCCAGGAAAGTAACAGCTCTGCATATACTCCTACTTACTACTTAAAAACAAACAAACAAAAAAACCCCTGGTAAATAGAAATTGCAAGTTTTCCATATGGAAAACAGTGTCAGAGGAGGATAGCAGAGCAAATTTTCTGGATAAAATTTTTAGAACACAGTACATTTTGAGAAGAAGCTTGCCCAATGAATATTTCACATCTGCTAGCATCTTTGTTGTGGTGGACAATATCCAAATTTTACCTTTGCTTGGTTTAGGCTGTCATATCATATTTAGAGTAACTGTAATAAAACTCTTCTCTACCAGAATGGAAATTTTCATTAGAACAACTGTTGAACTGAGAAAATAATCCCCTGGAACAACAGTTTCTGTGTCACCACTACATTAAGCAGTGAGCACAGGCTCTGGATCCACATTGGTGGAGCTATTAAACCCACGGAATACAGAGGAAAACCCCCAACACCAGGACTGTCTACTAATGTTGCGTAACCATGTTTGTGTCTTTTAGTGAGCATATGGTAACCTTTCTAACAATTACTCTCCAATTTCCTATATTGGCAACTGCAGATAATAAATAATAAAAATGCTCTTACGTGTGTTCCTTTCATGTACCTGCACTGCTGCTTTTTAATTTGATGAGCAGGTGATCAACAAATCCTGCTAAATGTGCTTTGGTTGAACTATAGTCCTATCTATTTACATAAAGATGTGTCTCTAGTGCTGCAAAATGAGGCAATTAAGGCTGTCACCTGTATTTTATCAAAGCTGTTGGAGCTGGATGCACACAATTTCCAAACCTGCCAGTGTATGGCAATTAGCCAAAATGCCAAAAACCTGTTTTATTGCATATCACATCACTTTTGATTGATTGGTGTGACATTGTGTTACAAAAATTGTTGTTAAAAAAATGTTTCCTCACTATGTAAACTAATGTAAATCAAGGTAAGTGTTCAGAAGTAACAATGGGCTGGATAAAAGATTTGAAAACACATTACAAGTGGTTCTGCAGGACTCAGCAGTCAGGCTGAGCATTTGTACATAACATCTGCTACAGAGACCTCTTCTACACTTTGCCCTCATTAGAGAGAAGCTCAACACATCTTATGTACATATTAAGTAGACAACAACAGAAAAATGTGGTTATAACAATGCCAGGCATTTCCATGTGGTAGAGAAGACCTCAGAATGATGGGGTAGTGTGCCTCTGTAGATGAGCCTGAAATTCCTATTCTAGTTCTCCTTGAAGTATCCTGATGCAGCCTTCCAGTTCATTCAGCTGCAAAATCAGTAAACATATTCCCTGGAGCAGAAATAAACCAGTCAAAGAGATGAACTCATGGCTCAGGACTCCTTGTTCCTAACTCAGTACATCTTCTCTTAAACCAAAGCAGTTAGAAAGAATAAAAATTCTCTCCCAGTTTCCCTGCTGGCAGGTGAAATGCCACCAATTTTGGCCACGCAGCTAAAAAGTTGAGGGTAATTACAAAAATCAGAGATATGCAGGAAAATCTAGGATAGCTACAGCAATCAGATATTGTTATATTCTTTTAATTAGAAACCCAAAACAGTCATGGAAGGTAGCCTGGGAAACTCTGCTGTTATTTTTTAATAATTACTACTCAGTTCTATAAATTAACAATACATGAACTAAATCAAACATCTTCAAATATCTAATTTAAGTATTTAACTGTACTTGTACAAACCAGGAATTTTTATCTCTCTGCTGCAAAATATGAGCTGCTCCTCAATCCTTCCATAAACTAATATTCAGAAAGTGCCACATCTTCCACAGACAGTACAATATTCATTCCCCCTGTCAAAAGCATCTTCTGGGAAGTACAGCTGGATTACCAGGTACTTTGACAGAGAACATCGATTTGGCCAGGTGAGGATGAGACAATGGGTAGAGAAGAAAACTCCCATAATGACTCAGCACCCCTAATTTAATAAATCCTACACTCTGGCTCTGGGTGAAAGTCAGAAATTGATGCTTTACATGAAAGTCAAGCAAGGCAGTAAAATATGAAGGTTATTTTTATAGAGTACTTCACTCAATTTATCCTTCTAAGCCTGCACACAGAGCATACCAGGTACTGAATTCTACCACCCAAACAAAATTATTTTTCTTCATTTATGGTTAAATAATTTTCTTGTAGTCTGGCACATCAAAACTGCTGCACTGATGGCTAACAAGCATCCCTTTGTCCTTGTGCTGGAAGGCTCTCAGAGAAAGTGACTTAGTATTGTGTAAACTTAGTGTTCAACAGCACAAACACCAGGTTCCTTCACTGACCTCTATTCAATGAAAAGCAAAACAAATCCAGAAAAAAACAAAAAATACTACTTCTGGTCTCAAAGTCAGGTATGAAACTGGTTAGACAGAGAAGGCCTAATTAGCTTAGTGAAAAAAAAATAATTAGTGAACCGTGTATGGATTAAAGAAGAAAAGTAGCTTTGAAACTGATTTGACTAGTAAGTGCTGCACCATCCAGTGAAAAAAAAAATGAAATTATAAATATTCAAGATTGTCACCATCAGCTTTAGGTATGCTGCAAAACATCCAGCAACTGGGTTTTTGAATTGTAGGTAACAAAGTGAAGTAAGTTTTTGCTTAAACAAGATGACTCATCTAAGGGAAAAGCCTGTTGAAGAGAAGACCTTTCAGTACCTGAAAGGGGCCCACAGGAAAGCTGGGCAGGGACTTTTTGCAAGTGCATGTAGCAACAACACAAGAGTAATGGCTTTAAAATGGAAGAGGGGAGATTTAGATTAGATATTTGGAAGAAATTATTTCTTATGAGAGTGCTGCAACACTGGAAGATGTTGCCCAGATAAGTTATGAAGGCTCCCTCCCCAGCAGTGTTCAAGGCCAGGTTGGATGGGGCTTAGAGCAACCTGGTCTGGTAGGAGGTGTCCCTGCCCATGCAGGGGGGTTGGATCTAAATGATCTTTAAGGTCCCTTCCAACCCAGACCATTCTATGATTCTATGAATTAAACTCCATTATGTTCCTTCTGCCTGATAGTGTTCCTGTATACTTACTTGGGGTCTCCCAAGAACACTGCTTTAGAGCTAGAAAGTTATATTAGATCTTGCAGGAAATCATTATTATTTTCCAATCCAGACTGTTAAATTTCCAGGTGTGTGCAACTGAGCAAAGACTTTGGGTCTACATCCAGCATGGCCTATCCAACTGAAAAAGTGAACTCTTTTTGGCTTCATTTTGGTGGTGGGACATGAGAGGAATCTTGCACCTGGCATTTTATAATGCTATCAAAAAAGGCAATAACAGAGGTCTCTCATGCCCAGAAGAATGATAAACAGAATTGCATTAGAAATAAAATGACAAGAGAAGTGCAAACAGAGCCTTTGAAGAAGAAAATATAAATTATAATCAATTACCCTGTCATTACCAAATAAAAATTTTAGAACAAGGAGTCTCAGTTCTGTAATATGAACACAGCTCATTAATTAAAAGCTAGAAAATAAAAAACCCAATAAACTGACAGCAATAATCAGCTGGACACAAGGAGGGAAAAGGAAGATGGATGGAGGGAATGTTATTTTTTTTTCTTTTTTCTTTTTTCTTTTTTTTTTTCTAAAACATAAGCTCTGCTTCTCAGATTGTGTTAATGCTGAGGATTCAAAGACAAAAAGCAACACAGTGGACTGGTACACACCCCTAGGTCAGTCCCAGCATAAACTGTCCCAGATTTCTGCTGCTCACCTCTCAGAACATGGCGTTGACTTGTCACTGCGCAGACTTTGGGTTTCAGCTTCTGTGACTGTGTTCCTTTCATTTTCATCTTTTGCATTTGTAATTTCTCCTTTGGTAACCCCCCTAAGTACCTTCCTGATCAAAACAGGGAATAAAGAATTTTAAAATTGTTTGTTGTTTTTTTTTCCCCCAGGAAACAACAGCCTGACTGAGATATCAAATGCTGAACCAGAAGTACCTTTTGTGAAAATTCTTCTCTTTTTATTTTTTTACAGTTTATACACAGAAATGCTTTTTTTTAACTAAATATATGTATTTTCTCTTAAATATTTCTTTGCAATTTCTACAATTATATGCATCCATGCCCCAAATATGATGTTTTCTGAAAATACAACATCATCCCCCTACCCTATAATGTGTGGCCTAATAAGATAGAAATGAGATAAATGAAATAAAGTTTTGAAAAGGAACAGTGTTCTTCACCAAGTAACATCTAGGTCCTGTTTTAGCAGAGTCTCTACACTGGTTCTTTCGTCACCCTAATTTCAGAAACTAGAGGGGTTCTGGTGCTCTTTTTCCCAATATTAAAGAGAGACAAACCACTCGTGGTTTTTTTTTTGAGTCATTGCAACAAGTAATTCCACCCTCCTCAAGTAAAAAAAAAAAAAGTTGTAGAAAGCTATCTACCTACCCTATATTTAAGATCCATAATGAAATGTTTTCTTTCTTCCAACAGAAGCAAAGTTTTACAGCTACCAGCCCATGGACCTCCAGCCATGTTATGAACGTTTGTCTGATTTTTCATTCACCAAATAACCTCAAGTTATGTCCAGACACCACTAGTGCCACATCACAGATCAATGCATCTGTCCATGTCCATAGGGGCATAGCTGAACTGGGGTCACATATGTCACTGAAATTGCAAGATGACCAGCAACACACTGTTTATTCACTGTCATACACACAAAAAAGGGACATTGCTGGATTGTTAGACTGTATTTGCATAGCTGGTAGCTAAAGAAACACTTAATTTGTGAGCAGAATTGACAAGTATCCATAAAAAAACAGGCCCTGCAAATACTAATTTTTGCATTGTCTTCTTAAGCAAATGTGCCTTTAGGGACATGGCTGCTTCCAAGTATAAAAAAGAAAAATCCAGGAGTAAAAGTGCCTTTTTTCTGCTAACTTTATAGCTGGAGAGTACTTACTGCTGCATTTCCTAGGGAACAGCAGCCTAATTATAGTAAGAATGCTTTTAAAGTAAGGTTGTTTCTAATCCTGGGAAGCTTAAGGCTGAGGTGGAACAGTGGAAACACTCAAAAGAAAATCCATCCAGTCAGATACAGCTGTCATGCAATTTAGCAGTTTCCAAATGAGAAAGCTTTACCCTATCTTTTTAGGTTTGCTGAAGACTGATTTATGCCCAGTTGTGCAGGAGACAGATACATCTGGCTTTTTTTCTTCATTCTCTTGGGGCTGATCTTTAACTGTTCTTCCTTCATCCTTACTGGAAACCGGATCTTCAGTGGAGGGGGAAAGAAAAACAAAAGTAGTGAATGTTTGCACAAAAAAAGTCAGCACATATTAAACAACCTACAAAAACAGATTTTCCATTTTTTAATATTAAATAAAAACATAGGATAAAATACAATTTAAAAAACCTGGGGGGGGTGTTCTTTCATTTTTCCTTTCAATAAAATAAAATAAAGCTTTTTAAAGTATTTTGAAATGTTTCTTCTTGTCAACTGTTATCTTGAATGGTGCTTCTGAAATTTTCACTGACAATAACCAAAGGACTTGGAATATGATGTTGTGGTGTACAGTATTTTCTGTCTTAAATGAAATAATGTTTTCCTAATTAAAATGTTTGCTCTACTAGGAACAAGATGTGGGGGAAATGGCTTAAATAGGTATCTACCAAATAACAAAGTGACAAATGAAAAAACACCCAATTTGACAGGCAGCATAATATCAAAACCCAAAGAATGTTAGACACTTACCAGTTTGACAGCTTCTGAAGCACAGTGATATCAGCAAGATCAGCATTATGTCAAGCAGTATATTTGCAACGGGCATTTTTCCAAAGGCACCTCTCCCTACAAACTGCCCACACCCATCACCTTCCTACTGAAAGCAGTAAATGCCACCTACATTTGAAAACAGACTACCTGAATAACAGCTTCTGTGTGCTGAGTTAAGTAAGTAAGTGAAGAAAGAAGCATCAGCTTTCAGGAAAAACTCCTGCTCCTTAATCCAGTGGTCCTGTGGTACCATGCAAGGTACCCCAGCAGTGCACAAACATGGTACACTTGCTGTGCCTGGTCAAGATGCCCAGACTGTTTGTGGTACCTAAAAGTGCAGGTGCAACTAACTGGAGATACCCAGGCCAGAGGAAAGTCAAATGAGAACTGGGAAGCACTAAGTGGTCTGGGTGTAGCCCATGCTCCAGCATACAGCACAGGAGCTGACATGAATCTTTCGTACTCAGAGTTGGAAAGGAAAACTGAAATACTTCTTACACATCACCACCACAAATAAGAGAGACAAAGTAAAAAAAGGGGCTGGGTTTAGATCTCTGCATGCAGCCTGATTTCCTGACAGGAACTGAGAATGAACTTTTAGAGCCCCTGCTGCTGGCTTTGCAGCTGAAAAATACTCCACAGAGATACTTCTTCATTCATCCACACCTTACTTTTTCTATATCTTAATAATAATGTCTATCTGGACAGTGAGATTTTAAGCAACTCTCCATCTCCACAGAGATACTTCTTCATTCATCTACACCTTACTTTTTCTATATCTTAATAATAATTCATTAATCACTGCATAGTAATACCCACATATGAAATGAAGATTCAAATACTGATTATAATTACACCTTCAACATTGAAGAACAAAATACAATACAAGTCAAACATGCTGAAAACAAGGTTTGAATGTATTAAGCACAAGCAAATCTCTCTCTTGTGGTCCCTACCTGGGAATTTGTGTAGGATAGACTGTCTGACAACATCGGTTCCAAGATTTGATTGTTTGAAGCGCTTTGCTCTCTCTTCAAAAAACCATTCTCCTGTCACTATCCGTAGCTGTCTATAGGGGGAAAATGTAAAATGCCAGAAAGATATGCACATTAATAAACTTGGCCAACCAAAGCTATTGCTTAAGCCCTCGGGTCGTTATTCAACCATCATGCTCAAACTCTGAACAACATTTGCACATTTCAAAATAAAATGATTGATTGCAAAGCCAGGGACAGTAAATGGGTCTGGAGAAGAGGTCTGCTGAGGAAAGGATGAGGGAGTGGGGCTGTTCAGCCTGGAGAAGAGGAGGCTGAGGGGAGACTTCATTGCTCTCTACAACTACCTGAAAGGAGGTTGTAGGTGTTTGCCTCTTCTCCCTAGGGACTAGTGATAGGATGAGAGGAAATAGGGTCAAGTTGCACCAAGGGAGGTTCAGATTGGATAGTAGGAAAAAATTATTCACTGAAAGAGTGGTGAGGCACTGGAACAGGCTGGCCTGGGGCATGGTGGAGGCACCATCCCTGAAGGTGTTAAAAAAACAGGTAGACATGGTACTCCAGGAGATGGTGTAGTGGTCATGGGGGTACAGAGCTGATGGTTGGACTTGATGATCTTGAAGGTCTTTTCCAACCCTGATGTTTCTATGATTCTATGTAGCAGAAAAATAATATAATCTTGCTTTGTGAATGAAAAGTAATTTTCAGTACGTGGAAATTTACTCAGCAAAAACGTGTTTCAACCACATTTACCAGATCTCCATAGAAAACATGTAACTTACTATCTCTCTAGTTCTTTTGATAATGAACTACTCAAACTCACAGTTTTCAGTATCTCCTAAATGACAAGAGATGTAGAATCAAGAGTGGATTGAGGGAGAAAATCCCCCAACAAATCTCCTACCAGCCTAGTCAGCAGTTTATGAACCCTGGTTATACCCAGGTTGCTGCAAGCCCTTCTTTATTTTTCATCTCTATCTGCAGTTTCTTCACAGGACAGTGCTGTTACAAATTAGCTTTGCATTGAAGGCTCCAAGCAATGAAGTCTTTGCTAGTGTTCTGCATAATGCTGCTTTTTCTAGTTTCAAATTCTCTTACCTATAGTAGTAACAAAGAAATCCTGTACTGGCACTGTTCTTTCCCACAGGTATATTTTTAGGCTGATTGCTAGCCTTTTCTTGAATTAGTGTCCTTATGGTAAAGCATCCCCATTTCTACTGCCTCATTACATACAGTTGATGGCAAAAAGCTACTAATCTTGAACACTGAAAATAAAAAGCAAATACACTAAAAAAAAAAAAAAAGTTAAAAACTTATTTCACTGTAGACATGTTCCTGTCTACTTTACGCTCAACAAAAACCCCTTTATTTTCAAACCCATACCAGAAAAGAAATAATCTAGTCTCTTGGACATGAAAATTACTACAGATAGATTTAGAGCACTGATTAATATCTTCACTTTTAAATCACTTTTGAGTCATGTTTGAATGAGAGTCTGACGTGGGAAAATACTAAAAATTACAGAATAGGACCTTACAATTTGTAAAAAGACTCTAGTATCATCAGTTCTTCTTAATCTATTAATGAATCATTCACCTTCCCACGAGTCATTAAAAAATAATTTTAAAAAATTGATTAAAAAATCAAAATCCAAAACCTGTGCCCACAAGCATAGAAAGATTACTGCTTTATCTTGTTGCAGACTCATAGTGACAGAATCCTGTATAATGTGAACATTGATGAACAGTGATGAGGGAAAGAAAACATCTCTGATGCCTTCTGTGTCACAAGTGCCCAGGGGATTTCAGCTTGGGTTGAATGGTGACTGAGAGTGGCATGTTTGTTTGTTTTATCATATATTAAGTCTTATAATCTGATGTGGAGATTTGGCTTTGCAGCATCAGGAGGTTCATGGTGGCTGGAGAGGACGAAGGAGCTGCAGCCAAGGGAAGGAGGCCAAGAAGGAAGAGGATGGAGGGTTGCTGGGCTGAGGAAGGAAGGATCAGCAGGGGTGCCACTGGTGAAGCAAGGAGGTTCTCCCTCAGTATCCATCCCTGGAGGAAAGCCTTCCTCTCATCCTCCACTCCACTGTGGTTCAGGCCACCACCAGGCTCCCTCTCTCTGTCCCCACTCACCCCCTGTCATCCCAACATTTACTACACCACACTCAGGGAGTGAAGCAGCCTGCAAGAGAGGAAGGGCTGGCACCAGGCTGGGGAGGAAGTAGGAACACTAATAACTAATCATAATAACTACTGAACCCCATACTAATCTTCCTTGCAGAGACAGGTGAATCTGTTTGGACAACAACAGTTGGTCCATTCATCTTCTGACAAAGAATAAATAAGCAATCTACTTAGTAATCTCCCTTTGCAGGCTATAACCTGCCACCATTAAACAGTCCCTAATTACTCAGCTGGTCCCCTCTTGCTTAGCCAAGGAAGTTTGAGGTCATCACTGTGTGCTCTGGCAAACACAAACTGGACCCCAAGGGAAGAGGAAGGTTAGAACGATTCCTTCCATGGGCTTGAGCAAGCCAAGGAAGTGTGACAGCAACTGAACTGATGGAGTGGAATTGTGTGCTGGCTCAGCTAATGATAGTAGACTGAATTGCCCATCTTCTTCATCTGGCTGATCTTATTAAGCAATAATAACATTCACATTTAAAAGTAAGGTGCCAATGCCTTGGCAGGGCTACTTTGAGAAGACCTACACCCATTCTGCTCTGACTTTGCCAAGAGAACTGGGTCTGAGGTAAAGCATAGATGACACCCTCAACTGAGGCACAAACCACAGCAAATAAAGGGAGTACTGCCTTGTTTTACTCAAGTACTTCACCTCTCTAGTCAATGCTGTTATCCATGGGTGAAAGGGGAAAAGCAACAGACATCAATAGCCAGCCATTGTGAGCATCTAGAGACCTCAACCATCCCTTCAGATCTTCAGCCTTATAATCGTCAGTGCTACACAGTTTTGGGATCCTGACTTCAGCCCTTTTGTGAAAATGTCCTTACCCAATCTCTAAAGAAAGTATCACACTCTAATGAAATAAACGGAAAAAAATTAAGCTTTACAGCTTAGAATTTTGAGTATGCTAATATTGGATGTATTTTTCACGTATACTTTAAATTTCACAAAAAGACTAGTGTTCATGCTATCTTAGTCATTCATACATGTCAGGAGTACCTATTAAAATAATTTTTATTCTACGCAGAAATAGAAATGAATTCAGATTAAATGATGGCATAGGTATCTAAATTAGGGTTTGAATTTCATAATTGCATTTAACATTTTGAATCAAAATCAAAGAGCAAGACCTAAACAGTCTTGCAATAATGTTATTTCCATGCATTTATAATTAAGACAAAGGGGAACTCTCCTTCCTACTGGTAGCACATCTTTCTTCTTTTTCTGATACAGGACTTCAGTGAGTCCTTTCCACTTAGGTAAGTGTTTCAGTGGGAAAACAAATGAGGGCATTTATGCAACAGTACATCTAATCAGTGCTTGCAGGTTTGGTTTTGTTCTTTTAAATGGGTCCAAGGCTCTTACTAACTATAAATCATGGTATGTGCAGGCTTTTCATTACTTCACAGTTAGCAGGTAGTACACAAAATAAAAAATATGTATCTATTCTACCAAAGAGTGTTAAGACTTGCCTTCCAAGCCATGCAACGAGTGTTCCAGTAAATAGTCTTAGAAAGAAGAAAAGCACTGTTTAAAATTTTAATAGCATTAATTTTTGCATGATTGCTCTTTCCTATACTCAAAATGGCTAGGAAAAATCATGTTTAAATAGGTAGGTTTAGTACCAAATACCTCATCTGCTAAAGTCCTTATAAATTAATTGCTGATCCACCTACTTATTTCACCATATGAGAGGGAGTACCTTATAGTTTCTTTCTCCCTCTATGATCTCCTACTAAACAGATTAATTTAACTAACATACTGCTCAGATTAAAATTGGAATACAGCATGTGGCCTAAACCCACCAAAAACTCGACTTGTTATTTTCCACTCTAACTTATGCAAGACACTTCATTGTTAAATGCCCAGTTATGAAAAATCCATTTAAGATGGAAAGTCCAAATTGTAACTTTTAATAATTTATTTGGGAAAAAACCCACATTAGTAAAAGAGTTTAACAATTCATTTGATCATCCAGCCTAACTTCCATCCGCAGCAGAGGACAGAAAATTAGTCTAGCTTCTTGTCCCTCTCCAGTTCCTCTCCTCAAGTTATTTTACTTCTTCCTTGGAAGTACAATTTGGAAAAAAATGGCAAGGCCAAAGGCTGACTAAAATGCACTCTATACAGGAGCATACCAAAGCATATACACTCATCTTTGTATGTCTTAAATTACACAGAATATTTTCTATAGCATAAATTAATTCCAGAGTGTTTTTAATATGCTGCGAGTCTCTTAAATATGGCAAACTTGCTTGGAAGTTATTAAAATAAAAAGAAATTATAAATGATCTGAAAACCATTTGCATCCTAAGACATTTGAAATTACTCTATTTTCAGGGTCTAAATTGGAATAAATGTCACTAAGATAATGATGAATTTTCATGACACTTTAAGACAACTTAATTATTTAAAAAATTAAGGACATTTTCTCATTAGTACTTTTTTTCTGTTCTAATAACTTGGACTTGCTTGTAATAACTTTGTCTGGCTGAAGAACTCAATAAAAATACAGGCATTTTTCAAAGATATCTAGACACATTTGTAACAAGAAATACAGACAGCATCAAGACATAAAATCAGCTTGCAAGCAGACTGCTTGAAGATATTTCTCTCTCTCATCTTATTGACCAATTTAAATGCCAAATTTAAAACACAAACTCAGCACATTTTAAGAAGATACAGGGAAAAAGATGTCCTTAATAGAAAGGTTGTCTATTAGCAACTAGGTTTGAGAGCTCCTGATGATCTTACTTCATTGCATGCAGTGAATGGAGCCAAAAGCTTCCCCGTTCAACAAGTGTGCTGCTACATACAGGTTTGATTTACCTCAATAAATACTACAAAGTGGCCATCAAACACACAATCACATAAATAATGTCTTGCT